ACCCAATCATATTACCGGATTTGCACACTTGCCATTCTAGTTAGCCGTTAACCATACACTTCGTAATTTCATTACTATGTTCCTGGTATAATCTAAATTCATATGGAATATCTGTAACATCATAAGTTGTTGAACGTCGATCAATCCATGAAGAGATCATTGATATGTGTTGTAACGTGATAATTTTCTCCCTCGTAGGGGGTAGTAATATTGCATCAACGGATGATGGTGTTTTCACATTTTTAGAAGGTATCGGTAATACTGAATCAATGGGTGATTGCCTTTTCATCCTTGCAGGAGGTTGTGATGATACTGCATAAGCATTAGGTGAATTCATATTCAAATTGGAGTTACCAATTTGTCACGGGGTTAATCGATACCACTAGAATAGTACCGAAACTCTGACTCAGGGTCACTTAGATAATGATCGAACACTCGTTTATTAGTTTATTTATGGGGACGAATATGGACAAGCAAAATATGGTATTTCTTTATTAGTTATCTTATTATCACGACCAAACTTCTATTTTTCTTTTCTTACCCTTTTATTTATACATTTGTATTGCATACTTATTACTTCATAATTACAACTAATTACATAATGGAATCGTCACTCATATAACACAATTTTTCTCGTAAATCAGCCCACACCACGTCTTCTTCAAGAATTTTCTTATAAGGATAAACTTTCATCGCAAGATCTCCACTAGAAATTTGTGGGTATTTTATAAGAGGGAGAAGATTTTGAAGGGTAGTTTTAAGAGAATTGAAATGCGAATCCGCTCATAGTCCAATATTAGTTGGTAGATTTGGAATTCTTGCTTTTCCCCATGAAATAATTTTATCCCAAACTCTAGACTCATCTGTTCGTAGGTCGTCACGTTTTAAAATTGAAATCAAAGTAGCTTCATCAAGAGTATTGAAATCATCTGATTTAAAAATCAAGCTTGGATCTTTCATAAGAGCTTTATTGCAAAATTGCTTCAAATCTTTAAAATCATCATTTTGGAAGGTCATTTGATACATGCGAGAAAAACCCGATTGAAGCGAAAATTCTCTATCGCGGATAATGATACCTTGAATATAGTGAACCAGTTCGTGAATTTTAAATTCATTGCTAATGAGTAATATTCAAATTTCTCCGAAATTGTCATTTTCTCCAAATCAATCTCACCACCGTAGATATATCTATATAGCAATAATTAGTAAATAATGTATATATACAAATTAATAAAAAGCATGTAATAACTTACTTAATAATTTTATCAAATAAATTGGGTTCAATATGCGATAATTTAATTTCTGTAATATTATTTTGCTTAGTCGCGCTCTCTAATATTTGACGAAAATACGATGAACGTTGATATAAAATTTCTGTGTGTGCTTTGAAATGTCGGATATTTGGTGGACTCCCAACTTCAATTATTAAGTCATAATCATATTCACTTTCAAGAAGTTGAGTAAAATCTGTTGAAAGTTCTTGCAAAAACCTACGAGGCATTTTAAAATTCCGAAATTCTGAAATTCTGAAATTCCGCGAATTTATAAAAATTTTTATACGTATTTATATGTCGATCATTAACACAAAAAAAAGGGGTACACTTATGTCCTGCAAACCTGAACCCCTCCGTGTAGGTCGGAATCAATAAAATAATGAAGATCTTTGTGTAACAACAACAAAGAAAAAAACTATTGTAACCTGCTTTCTGGCTTTAAGCAAAACTTTTCAGAATAAAATTGTACATATAGGATTATACTTTTATACAAAAAGTAAATAAAAAACGTCTATAATATCGAATTATCTAAATTTTGATCGGAGGTCCGATTTGCAGGACATAAGAGTACTAGAAAAAAAGTGGCTAGACAAATGAGATTCTACTTGAACCATGTGATGATCGTGATGATTTGCCAATCAGAAATTTAATAAATTTTTTAAGACTTTTCCTCTGATTAACATTACTACCCTATTATTATAACTTAAAAACGGCTTAAATAACTATGTTTAAGATACTAAGTAAAAATAATTAATACTATAAAAACCTTATTCTATTCTAT